TGTTTGGTGGCAGAATTATGGAAATTTGCAGAAGCCAACAAAAGGTCTAGTTCAGGGGTAGTCAACCTTTTTATACCTACCGCCCACTTTTGTATTTCTGTTAGTAGTAAAATTTTCTCTAACCGCCCACCGGTTCCACAGTAATGGTGATTTATAAAGTAGGGGACAAAACCCCTACTGCCCACCATGAAACCTGGAATGCCTACTAGTGGGCGGTAGGGACCAGGTTGACTACCACTGGTCTAGTTGCTGCTTAGGCTGGCTCTGATGATTATTTATTAGTTAGCTTTGAAACCATATGCTTGGCTCTTCTCTATTGCTACCAGTAGTTCCTCTGGTTCCTCTCCAGATGGAGAGAAGATACTTTGGAAAGTAGTTTTTTTTTTTTTTAGTTAGCAGGTGAATTTCAGTCATTAGCTCCCAGTGCTCCAAGAAACCAACTGAACAATAGAAATCTGAGGCTGCTAGATTAGAATATTTAATGATGTACTTCAAATACCTCCTCCTAAATCCAAACCAAGTTTTTATTTTGAGGAGAGGAAGTGTGTGTGAGAGAAATAATTTCCTAGGTACACCAGAAGAGAAAAAGCCTTAAAGTAATACTAATCATGTTGTTGGGCTTTGTAGAAACGAAGTTCAAACATTAAGGAGGCCATTTGTATAGTACTTGCTTTTTTATGCCAGAAGGAAAAATAAGGTCCTCTTGTTTGTACACATTTATATAGTGTTTATTTTTATTTATTGATTGATTTTTTTTATGCTGCCCATCAATGTAAGCAATGTGTTCAGATCTCAATACATCGTTGTTTTGCTCTTTTGTCTTAAATCCTCTCTGGTACGACTGCTTACCTTGCAGTTCACCTCCCAGCAACTACAAATGAAGGCAGCAAATGAAAGCAGCAGCAGCAGCAGTAATTTTTCTTGTAGTTGGGAGATGTGGGATGCTGTCATGTGGATGAGTACTGGGCAGTGGCTCATTCCTTATATAATAAGTAATTTGTTATTAAATTTATAACTTCTCTTTCTCCCAAAAGGTTAAAATGGCTTAAGGTGACTTCCATAATTATATCAGCAACAACCATCCTATTAATTAGGTTGGGTTGAAAGAAGATGACCCAAAGTAATCCTGTGAATTCAGTGATTGATCTTAGAGCAGTACTTTAAGCGATATATTATACAGGCTCTCTGCATATCTGGAGACATACAGTATAACTATATACCCAGTCCTCTATTCCCATTTAGAGTATGCAACATCAAGCTGCACAAAAAAGAATAAGAAATAGTTAGCAAAAGAGATAGATAGATAGATAGATAGATAGATAGATAGATAGATAGATAGATGATAGATAGATAGATAGATAGATAGATAGATAGATAGATAGATAGATAGATAGTGTCAAGTGTGCCTCATTCAAAACCCAAGAAAGAAATTCTTCAACTCCATTGATGCAAAGTACTTTTACTGAGTTTGAAGTGAGAGCAACAAAAGAAAGCAAGATCTGGAGCAAATAGGCACAAATATTACATAATGAAAGTTATCCCAAGTTCCATCCCCCAAGAGTCCAGACTAGTCTTCCAATCTGAGGTGTTTATAATGTCATGTGCGGTACATCTTCAGGTGATTTCTCACTCATCTGGTATGCCAAGATGGTTGACCTTGGCCTAGTAGAGATAAGTCTATGCAGATGTGCAGTAAGTGGGAAAACATCCCCTCCTTTTTAGTTCACTCTCCAGCATCCTTCCCCTCCCAAATACCAAAATTAAACCCCCCCCCATTTCTATGGCAGCCAACAGGAAGCAAGCAGCAAAAGATGTCAAGAAAACTTTGTAGAGGCTGACAGGCAGGCAGGCAAGCAGGCAGGCAGGCAGGCTGATGATAGAAAAGAAATGATAACAGGTATGAAAAGGAGATATATAGACTCTACATTTGACCAGCTTTAGTTTAACAACCTTTGAAGTTAATGGGCAAAATCTGCTAAAGACGGATATGCTGTGCTAGAATATCAGCAACAATTGAGGAAATGTGGAGATAGGGCATTGGGGAGATCAGCAGGCTATTGGGGTTCACTTGGGGCTGCTAAGAGGAAGAGGAGAGAGATGGAACAACACATTCTTCTTTGATTGCCATTTTCCACACCTACTTAAGCTGAAGACAGTTTGGTGTAGTGCTTAAGGCATCAGGCTGGAGACTGGGAGATCACAAGTTCTAGTCCTGCCAAAGGCACAAAGCCTGCTTAAGTCAATCTTAGCCCAGGAAGCAGACAGGGGCAAGCCACTTCCAAAAACATTGGCAAGAAAGCTGTATTAGCTTCTCCAGGCAGTCGCGAGGAGTCAACATTGTCAATACTGACTTGAAGACACAGACACACAAACATGCAGGCACCCACAACCCCACCCCCCAAATACAAATATTTTGCCTTTATAGCCTACTTTGAATGGGTTTCATATACTCCATGTATAGTGCATGTCCATTCACATAAATACATGGTATAATGTCATATTATGTTATAGTATTATACAATTATTATACATTTCATTCTAATAACAAGAATGTAACGGGCAGTAATATGGCTAAGATGTTCTAAGAAGTTCTATACTTCACTGACATATAAACTTTTTGTTTCATCATTATTTTCCAAGATCTGTTAATGAAATATAATTTTCTCTTATTGTTGATTTTTCTGTATTCTATTCTTGTTCTATAAAGGGGCCACATTTATACTATATTTTTTTAAATGTTTCAGTATCTTCCAAGGAGAAGCCTGCAAAACAAGAGAAAAAGAAAGCAGTTCCTTCCCCAAAAGGTAATTTTATTAATTTTACTCTACGGAGAAATAATTCAATGAGCAGCACATTTTTAATGGGAGGGGGGAAAGAACTGAATGCAGAATGCTCCCTCCCATGTCAATCTGTTGACAAGGGAGTTTTCCCGTATAACTGCTATTGAAATGGCACAAGAATGTGTGAGTCCAGCTATCTTCTGTATGATGTCTGTCAAGTTGCATATCCTCTCTTGAGCCTTTTATTTTGGGTTTTCTTCTCCAAGAATTTCAAAGGATGAACTCTGATGAAATACTGTAGGAATGATTTAACATTAAGATGTCTTTATTCAAAGAGCTGTTATTCTTTCATTACCCATATTTGTTTTTTCGTCATAAGATTGCCTGTGAAACTTTAGCATGTGACAAAACTACCGTGCACAAATTTTACTAGGCAGGTGCCTCTTTGCAGTCAGAAGCAAGACATTTGCCTATTTGTATCCTACTTTTATTATTTTTTATAAATAACTCTGGATGATGAACATATCCAACTCATTTCCTATTGTCCCCACAATTACAACCCTATGGGGTGAGTTAGGCTGAGAGAGAGTGCCTGGCCCAAGGTCATCCAGCCAGCTTTCATGGCTAAGGCGGCACTAGAACTCATAGTCACCCTGTTCTAGCCTAGTGTAACTGATGGGTATTTTAAGAAGTGGTAATAGTGGTGGTTGTTTTCTCCAAAATTAGTGAAAATGAAAAGTTTGTAACAAACCTTTTACTATGAAGTGGTATATAAGTCTAAGTGCTATTGCTATTGTGGCACCAATTTTATTTGTAAGCCTTCCAGAATGGCTTTGCAGAGTGATATGGGTGGCATATAAATTTAATACATAAATAAATTGTGCGCAAGTTGTGGTCTCCGAATTGCCTTTAAAGACAGCTCAGGGTAAATGGTGTTAGAATAAGCTCTGCAAGGGGTCCCCTTCTCTGACAAAGGTTAGAACTTGAAAGTTACTCTGCTGATTACTGTGATTCGCTTCTCCGTGTTCAGGTACCAAATTTCTCATCTTTACTACTACAATTCTCCAAGGGTCAAGAATTATTTTATTAACCATGCCTCTCTATTCTGTCAATTTGGCTTAATTGTGATTACACTCTCCTGCAGACACTCCTACATCTTTAATTAATGATGTAGACTCATTAATGTAAATGTTTTCTTCCCCCGCTGCATATGAGTAGTATGAGTAGTAAACAAGAACTTTATAATAAAAGTAGTATGGAGAATGCTCTGAAAAATCTCAGGTGATGTGGGAAATCTCAATTGGTTCCTGAGATGGAGATTGAGACTCATCTATTGAGACTCATCTATTCTCTCTCATTTAAAACAAGCTTTTGCTTTTCCACAGCAGAAATAACAGTTCCGTAATTTTATGCCCACTTGCAAATATAGTATACATTTATTTTGCACATACATGTTCTTTGGTCAACTAGGGAAAAAATTGAGATGATGTAGATAATCTCAGTTCTTCTCTTCTTTGTCTCTCTGTATTGATGGGAATAGTCTGCAGGAGAACTGTAGCTTTATGTTTGTTTTACCTAGTTACATCATTCTATAGTTCTCGGAACTCAGATCATTCTTATAGATAAGTTTTCTTTTTAAAATAGAGCACTTGCAAATGATTTGTGTATATTAAGATTGTGATTATGTAAATAATGTGATTGTCTGTTGAATCAAATTACTCTATATTACTCCACAGTTTGTAATTTGCACCAAACATACCAGGATAACTTATTTGTAAATCATCATAAAACAATTACATACATTTATGTCTGCCATTGAAAACCCATTAAAACAAATGTGTCTTGAGCCATCTATATTGTTAGGTGGCAGATGATTGATGTGATTACATTAGTGTTCTGCATCTCATTCTGCATTTAAAGGATAATGGAATTAAACAACAAAATTACCTGTAAAGAAAAACCTTTTTCAAAGAAATTAAGGATCATGCATCTTAGTATACTCTTACATATTATATAAAGTGCTGGTAAAGTAATATTAATATCTTTAGTGAGGATTACATGAATTTTTGCTATTTAACTCTTCAAATTAAATCCAGAGTAGCATTCCGTATGTATGGGATTCCCAGTCCACATCAATTACTTTTTCTTAAATGAACAAATTAATATTTGTGTTTTATAGATTGATTGGTAAAACAAGATCATTTTCTCATTTTAGTAACAGAAAAAATGAAAACAGAACAGCAAGAAAGGATGGGAAAAAAAGTTGTCACAAAAGGTATTTCTTTAGTCATTAATAATATTCAGGAGTGAACTTCTTTAACTTCTTTAATCATATTGCAAGAACAGGAATGCAAAGGCCAAATCACTCCAGGAGGCTATTGGTAAAATAATGCTAAAACCAGCAAGATTTAAACATTAGTAGGAACCACATCAGATATGGAATTCAACTCCCCAAATTCTCAGCAATAATTGTGAGTTCTGTGAGTTGAAGTTTACATATCTGGATATGGCCGAGTTGGAAAATCCTTGTCTAAACATTACTTTATTCTTCTATTGTGCAGAATTTAAATGTTAAGATTAATTGTTGCTGTTAAATATTAAGATATCTAAGAATTGTTTGGATGTCTTACTATTTTGCTATTGTCATACTATATTTTTTTTTACTTAGAAAACTAGATAAACAATATTTCATTAAATACAGGTGTGTGTGTCCAAGTGCAAGTAAAAAAACAACAACTAGGCATTATTCTCTTGAAATTACTTTTAAAAAATCTGTAGATTTTTGAGCTAAGAATTAGGTCCTGTTTAAACAGTGTGCTTAAAACAGTTGTTCTGCAGTTTATGTTTTCCACTGATGGTTAATAATGGCACTGTGGTCTTCTAAAACCTCATAAGCTGAACTGAAGATATTTTTAATGCCATATGGCAGGGATTTGTGAAAAAAAGTGACTTTTGAACAGTGACTTTTTTGAAAAGTGACTTTTTTTTTGCATGCAGATAAAAAGAGCATCCAAGTTGAAGAAAAGATTAAAAAAGATGTAAAAGAAAAAAAACCTGAGGCCAAGGCACCTGAAAGACTAAAGAACAAAGAAATCAAAGCACCGGAAGTTACAACACCAAAAGCCAAGGAAAAAAAGGAGACTACCTTGGCAGTCAGAGAAAAAATCGATCATAAAGGTAAACAATATCAGGAGGAGGTCACCAAGAAATGCTGAAGTGCAGGAAGGAATTCAGATTCCCTGTTTTAGAAAGAATTTATCCATAATTAGGAGAAGGGGAAGGTGTCTTCCTTTTGGATCACTGATCTCTATTTTTTTAACTAATAATTCTTTTAGGAACAAATTTCACTACAAAAGCATTTTCAGCATAAGAACAAAGATGTGAAATCTCTTTACTTTGTCCAACAGAAGGAATAGCAACTATTAGGCCCCATCTAGAGAATGCTTCACATTCTTAAATCTAACTGGAGAATTTGTCAGGAATTGGAATGAGAAAGGGATAAAGGTAGGCAGAATTTGGGGAACATAGATTTTGAGATCTATGCAATTTATATCTCTTTCTACATTTTGTGTATTAAATGAGGAAAAATGGAGGCATGGGGAGGATTGACCTCTCTGAATGCTTTTGACATCATCAGCCAGCCAGCCAATCATTTTGCTGGCTCTTCTGTGAGATGTATGTTTCTGGCATATATATTTCTTTTTTCAAATCCATCCATCTCTTCCTCATGTACCAGTTTCAGGGCTGTTATCAGGTGGGTTAAAATAGGGGTTCCCAACTGCCAGGCCATGGCCTACCACTGGGCCTTGAACCAATTTGAACCAGACTGTGGAAATGGTGGAGGAGTGTGCTCGTGAGCAGTGGGTGAGCTCATGTGCTCCAATTGTACCCCCCCCCCCACAAAACCGTTCCCTCTTCCCCACCCACCGGTCCACAAAGGCAGAAAGGTTGGGGAACTCTGGGTTAAAACAAACATATATAACAAGGGGATAAATCCAAAATATAATAAAAAAGACTTAAGTAACTTTGTTTCACTCCAGTGCCGAGAGGAATCCTTGAGGGTAAGAGTCTTATAGATTCTAAAAATCTATCTAGCTCATTAAAAAAAACCCACAGCAGCTAGTTGAATGCAACAGGAAACCTATAGGTAGGGACACAACTAACATTTAGTGCCAGCTTTGGACTCATCTAAACTTCTTTCCTTCTCTCTAAGATGGATATCTTTACTTGTCCACTTCCACCCAACACATTCCATTTTCTCATTCTTGCTTGTGATTCCAGCCAACCATTCTCTTTTTAAGAAATATTACAATTCACAGCCTCTAATGTTCATTTCCTCATCTTTGTAGTTAGCCAACCAGCTTTTGGTGAGTAGCATGGAGAGTCAATCCCAAATTCACTTGAACTTCCTTGCCCTTTGAAATTCCATTCCACATTGTTGTTGTTTTCTTTTTCTCCTTCAAATGTTGTACCTCTCCCAAGTCTGCTAATGTTTTTGTTTTAAGCACAGATGGTGGCATTTTGAAAACATCAGGATTCACATGGGGAAATGGTAGACAATGCAGTTATTATTAGCATTTAGGATAGATCTTTTTAATGACTTACAGAATTTTGAAAATTTCATACAAATCTTCAATTTGAGCTGCGTAAGATTTTTGTAGGCTAACCCCCCTCCTTTCTTTTTTCTTTTTCCTTTTTAGAGGGAGAGGGAAATGAAAGTCTTCCTATTCACTTCCATGCTGTGCAAAAATATAGTGATTTTAAATCTATTTATGGTTAGGCCCCATAATCTGAGTTATTTCTTAGAAATTATTAGGATTATCTCTTGAGTAAAAAGGTATGCATGTAACTAAAATGACAGCACACATCAATTTTTTAAACTCTTCTTATTCATTTGAAAGACTATACAACATTTTAACATATCTAAGTTAAGAACATTTGTGCATCATTTTTAATTTTCAAGTCCTCTTATTTAAATCAATTTTTTGAGACAACTGAACCTGTAAAGAATGGTTTTCTTAACCAGGCCCACATGTGCAAAGCTTGAGCTAACTACTTTATTATAGTCTGCCTATAATACAGGAATCTCCCTAGTCTAGCAGTTATTTCGTAGGAATAATTACATAAGTCTCCAAGGAATTCAGGGAGGGCTAGTTCTGGCCTTTTTATAATTACATAGTGACTCTAGTCTAGCCCCATGCTTTAGCCTTCCTCCCTGCCAGTTTGGTTGCTTCCCAAAACATGTAAACAATTCACCCCCAAATTTGTATTAAAATTCTTGGGCTTTTCATTTGGGTTTCTATTCTTTTATGCATGTTTCTGCATACCTTTCCTGGTATTTGTATTTCTCCAACCAATTTCTCATAATATTATGTGTTTATGTGCATATTTATTCCAATAAACACATTTTTGTGCTCATTATTACCTAATATATGCATTTTATGTCTTTTTATTTCCTTGTGAATTTGCATTGCATTCAGCACAGTGTTAGTTATATCCAGTAAGCTTGAAGGGTGTGAATATTGTAAATTGTATAAAAATTAGATTGAAAAAAATATATGTTCCAATTAATTGGACTATGAATATGGATATTATTCTTTAGCCATAGCAGATTGGGGGGGGGGGATCAAAATTTAGATTAAAAAAAACTTTGAACCTTAGCATTACTATTCCTTCATATTCGTTTTCCTGACCTGTTCAATCATTTCTGTCTTTTTGACAGATGTGCCATATAGAAATTGGGAGCACTGGTGGTGAGCTCATATCTGAAGAGATTGCTCTCATTACTCTCTGAAGGAGCTTTCAATTTGAGTAACATGTACTGAGCTGACAAAAGGCTGATAGGGTTATGGAAGGAAGATTGTATGAACTTAATATTTCTTCCTTTGGCAGAGCAACCCTGAGTGCAAGATTGCCCTACAAGCTGCAACCCATCAGAACAACAATGAAAATAGCGAGATTTTTGCATTTTCTTCCTATGTCACTTCTGCATAATAAAAATGAGATTTCCTTGCTCTAGATGTAGAGAAAGAGAGGACCATTTGGCTCCTGAACCCTTTCCCAGACATTTTCCATTCTATTGCTTCAGATTTTGTGTTTCTCTGAATTTCAGTCATCAATATTTTTTTAAAAAAATCTATCAATCTTCTTTAAATCTGCACTTTATGATAAAATAGAGTTAGACGTGTGTTTATCAGATAATGCAGCTATAAATATTTTATGAGGAAAATATAGACACATATATTTAAATATGTGTTAATGTATGCATTTTGATGGAAAGCTTTAAAAATATTTTTGGCAGAATGGATACATGAAAATTTGCACATGAAATAGTGATGAAATATACTGTATTGATTTTTTTTCATCCCTAGTGGTAATCCATCAGATCAATGTCTCATGCAAACTACAGTGCAGGTACCATAGTTTTATAGATATGACCAAAGCAAAGGTCCTGGGTCTTATCTTATCCAGTTTGTGTTGGAGAAAAAATATTTTATTGATAGCTAGAATGAGGTATAAAGCTGATAGTCTTCAGAACCAGGTCTTTTACCAACTCCAGTATTTCAATGGAAGACAAATCCTAAAGGTGAACAAAAATTGGTTGGTTTCATAGCTGTCCTTTCATCCTTCCCCTCCTCCGACCCCCTCCCCCCAAGATCTGGAAATGTAATTCGTGGTATACCAGATTTAAAAATAATTCAATTGAAGTATACGGTGTAAAGTTTTTAAATTGATAACTGACACACATGTGTCAAAAGCATAAACCAACCCACATGAACTTTTCTGACTGGGTTTAAAAAAAAAAAAGCCAGGAGGTCATGTGAATTTTCCAAAGCTATCCAGAAAGAAACTGCAAAGCAAAACTAGACAACATGCAAATTATTTAACTATTGCAAGTAGTGATTTAATAATAATAATGTTAAGCTATTATGTTCGTGATTTGAAAACCTAAAGTTTTTCCCCCAATTCCTTTGATTTTTTTTTAAATTTGTTCATCTTGGACCGTGGTTCAGTACTGACCTCCACAACCAAGCATTGCCTGCCAAGGAGTAGGAGCTTTCAACAACAAAAACGCTGGGGGAGGAAGGATTACATATCCTCTTCTGTACCAGTTGATCATAATGCAGAGTGGCCCTTTGTGTGCTTCCAGGGAAGTCAGGAAAATCACAGATTGGAGCTGGGCAATACAACTTGTGCGTTATCTAATTTAGACCTCAGTGGAATCACAGATGATGTTTTCATGCATCTCTGTTCCAGATGAATATCAGAGGTGGCAATTCATAAAGGTTAAAATCCAGTTCTTTCCAGTGGAATTAGTAGAAAAGTATTGCTTATGGAAATGGTCTGTGAAGAGGCCAGAAAGGCAAACTTGACCTCAATTCTTCAGCAAGAGACCAACATTTTCCATCTGTTGAATGTCGTGGCTTTTATTTTGTAGCAGCTGCAGATAAATTAAAAATAAACTTAATACATTTTATTTAATGAAATAAGAAAATAAATTAGAATCGATAAATCATTTTCTGCAGCACAGATTTATCATGCAGTTAATTTTGTTCTGCCTCCAAATGTTTTAATTTTAAATGGTCTGCACACTCTTTTTATAATTGGATCACAAATGCTGCCCAAAGGAAAGGGGAAATGTTTATTTTTGTGGAATAGAAAACTAAAATTATGCTGAAATGACCACTACAAGCTCTGCTGACAGTCCAATGGCCATTGCTGTTTTCAAAATTGTCACATAGCCCTGCCAGCGACTAGAGACAAGAACTTAGAAGTGGTGCAAGGAACTTGGCCCTGGTGAAAGAAAAAAAAATGTATCTGAGATCTGAGGGTAGTAAATCTGAAAGTTGTCTTTTAGTACAAATACTTTGTGCCAAATGGAAATTTATCTTCTGAATGCAAATTATTTATAGGAGTCATATTATCACAGAAGTTAATTCTTTTGGATTTATGGACTTATACATGTATGATTATGTTGCATCAATTATTTTGCAGATGTCTATTTTGTACATGCAGATTTACTTTGTGTGCTTTTTTTTAAATGTGCTTTTTAAAATGAACATGAGAGCCAGTTTGATGTAATGGGTAAGACACCAGGTTAGAAACTGGGAGATTTTGAGTTCTAGCCTGCCTTAGATATGAAGCCAGCCATGTGACTTTGGGCTAGTCCTTCTCAGCCCTAGGGTAGAAGAAGAAGCAGAAGAAGAAACATAGAACATAGAATAATAAAATTGGAAAAGACCTTGGAGGTCTTCTGATCCAATGTCTCTTTTTGAAAACCTTTCGTGATGGAGCACCAACAACTTCTGAAGGCAACCTGTTCCATTGGTTGAGTGCTTTCACCATTATGAAATTTCTCCTTAGTTCTAGGTTGCTTCTCTCCTTGGTTAGCTTCCAACCATTGTTTCAAGAAAAAGGAAGAGGAGGAGGAGGAGGAGGAGGAGGAGGAGGAGGAGGAGGAGGAGGAGGA